TGGCAGAAGTCACTGAGCAGTGAACAGTGATAGGGAAAGAGTGACTCATTGTTGTCACAGGACCACTTCCATAATGACCATGTGTATCATTCACACTGGCAGACCGCCCATGGCCTAACTACCCTAATAGGCCCTACCTTTCAATAGGGCTGCAAAGAGAATTTGGTTTCTAAGACCTGTGTTTTGGGGACACATTCAAACCAGAGCAAGGTCCAACCATTTTGAGTTTGTTGGCCTAGATGTTTGCTCTTCTGTAAATGCTGCCCTGTGTCCCCCCAAGCCAGGGTCAGCGGCTTGTCCTGCATGTCCCCTTGGAACTCCCTTGTGTATTAGCATAGATGCTGCTGATATCATTCCATTATTTGATAATTCACAAAACTTTGAACTTATTCTCTCGGTTGACCATCTAAACCTCGTAGAATGTCTAGCACATCATAACTGTGCAAGTATTTCTAAATGTGTGGTAAGTCGGAAGCTTACCAAATACAAAACTATTGTAGAGATAAATTTACTGGTGATGATTATATATTTTTAGTTATGAAATCAAAATTGTGAATACTTTTTATTTTCTATCTAGGACTAAGAAGATGTTTGAGGAAAATTTCTTTGACTTTGTCTCTGATGTAATGTTAAGGCTAACATTCTTTCATCTCATATGTAAAATTTCATGGGGGTGGTGATGGAAATAGGAAATTCACAGGAGCCTTAAGAATGAATGGTCAATTGTTCCTTTGTTCAAATGTTGTAGTCCATGAAAGAAAATGTCAGACTGAAGTCCACTGTGACACCTCTTGGCCTTATGTCTAAGATTCTAAGATCAGATATAAAACCCGCTGTATTGGGCATTATGGGTACCCTGGCCAGATCCGCTTCACCTGGCAAATGGGCTACATCCCACAGCTGCCCAAAGTTGTTCATTTCTCTAGAAATTTATCCTTGGAAATGGCATGTTAGCCTCTGAGCCATAGCCGACTAATATGGGTATGTAAAAATCTTAGCCTGGGTTGACTCTGATGTGTAACTCACACTCCAGAGCTCCCCCATTGGCTCAGACAGACCAAACTTAAGATGACCTACTTTTCTACCTGTCCCCCCTGTTCTACTTCCCTCTCTCCCCGACTTTTCAGATTTTCCTCAAGGTCGATTCAGGAAGAAATCAGCCACACATAGATGCAGGTCTGCTTCTCAGAAACTGCCCCCAAGAACTTAGTGAAATGGAATTTTGGCTTCTGAAGTTAGACGAGTCCATATCTGAGAATAATAAGGACTGGAAATGCAGCTCAGTCATTGGATGACTGAGCATGTGCAAAGCCCTGAGTTGACCCCCAGCACCATTAAAAAAAAAAAAAAAAAAAAAAAAAAGACTATGAAGGAATGACACCAGCATTTCCTTCTACCCTATACGTTGCCAGACTCAGAGTAACCCCAATCAACATTTACTTGTTGAATGAACGTGAGCAGAGCACTTCTGGAAGCATTTATCAGTGGCTCTTCTGTGCGTCAGAAAGGTATTAGGAATGTGACACCAAACAGCATATACTTTCTGCCCTAAACATAGAACTCAGCTATGTCTGCCCCTGAACACATTGTCTAGGCATAGAACACGGAGCTGACAAGCATCTTTCTCACTCACTGCGTACCCAGCTAAGCCCCTGAGTAAGAACCACGTTTCACTGTGCTCCCTCCCAGATGGAGCATGTTGCGCATGTCTATAAATCAGGCAAATGCAAGCTCGTGTCAGCAGGGAGCAGAACACAGGCAGACCACTGCTTTTTCACACTCCTCTCCCTGTGGTGAGGAGCCGAATCGGGTGTAAAGGCATTATTTCCTGCCAATCTTCTGGGGGATAATGCAATTTTATGTTGTTTCCCTCTTAGAAAATACGTCATGGCTCAACTCTCCTTTTGAATAAGCCTGTCTCGGTTTGAATTAGAAGTCTTCTTCTTCTGGGCATTGTTAGAGCTGAGGCTGGGAAGGCTCTTGCAGCAAGACCGCTGTTCTGGCCCAGGCTGTTTCTCCTTTTTGTGGGTGCTAGAAGACATTGCAGGCAGGAACTAAAAGGAATGCTTTAAAAAAATGTTTTCATACGTGCCCAGAGTCCACCTTGGCCATATGAAAATTTCATCTAAAAAAAAAAAAAAAAAAAAAAAAGTAGCCGGGCGGTGGTGGCGCACGCCTTTAATCCCAGCACTCGGGAGGCAGAGCCAGGCGGATCTCTGTGAGTTCGAGGCCAGCCTGGGCTACCAAGTGAGTTCCAGGAGAGGCGCAAAGCTACACAGAGAAACCCTGTCTCAAAAAACCAAAAAAAAAAAAAAAAAAAAAGTATGTATTTTCAAATTCTCTTAAACATTTTACTTTTTACCGAGAACTTCACATATCCATACAATGTGTTTTGATCAAATCTCTCCCCTTTGCCCCTCCAGTTCCTCTGTATCCCCTGCAGTTTTTCTCTTCCAATTTCATGACCTCCCTCTGTTCTCTGCCCCTCCCCCACTGGGTACGCTTAACTGTTGCTTTTTGTGAATGGCACAGACCGGACCCTCTGCTGGAGGACGGGTAGCCTCTCAGGGGTTGCATCCCTGAGGAAATGTGCTCTCTCTGCCCAGGCAGCCATCTCAGTTAGGGGCGGGACTTCATAAGCTCCTCCCCCATCCATGCTGTTATTCCAGCTCCAGGAGGTCTGATGATATCCTCTGACCCTCCAAGGGCACCGCCACACCGATAGCACACACACAAACACACACACACACACATACACGCACACGCACACGCACATGCACATAAATAAAATTAAAATAAAATATATATTTTAACTTTTTTACATGAAGATTTTTTTCTGTCCTTTCTTACATTCAAGCTTTCTCACTTATGAAATGAGGCTATTGGGTTGCAAGGTCATGGTTATCTCTCAAATATTCTGGTTTATGTATGTCCTTTTCCCAGGAAATGCTGCATTTAAAACCGGTTTAAGGTAATTCATTCATGACAAGGCCTCATTGGGCAACCATGTATCTAAGACTGGTCTCACACTTTCATGCAGTCTTCCTGCCTCTCCTCCTGAGTACTGAGAGAGGCATGAACAATATCGCATGCTGCTAAAATAAGTTGTTACCCCTATATCACAATGAGTTTTTGTTGTTTAACTATCAGATCCAATGAAGGTCTATGTGCATGTGTGTGCGTGTATGTGTGTGTGTGTGTGTGTGTGTGTGTGTAAAACTTGTCTGTGTCAGGACTTACCCTTAGAGCTTTCTCAGACTTTTTCCCCCAAAACAAAGCCTCACCATATAGCCCAGGCTAGCCTCAAACTCATAATGCCCTTTAAGTGCAGAGATTGTAGATGCAGACGGTCATGCCCAGTTCTAACAATTTTCACTAAAGTGAAAAACCAGAAATATTATAAAATGACAACAAGAATACCATATGTATCAGTCTTGGATAGTGGCCATAATGACCCTAATGTATAAGTGGCCTTATGCAGTGCAGCACAATAAAATAAATAATGACTATTTCTTGTCCACAACCCAGAGCAACCAGCAAGGGTAGGTGGAGGAGCAGAAGGAGTCTTTGTCTCATAATCCTTTCATAGTCTTTATGCCTTGGAGTACTCATTAACATTCAGCCTCTAAAGTTGCGGTAGGAGTGGGCTAGAAAGTGGAGGATCACTCTCAGGAAATGCTCATGAGCCAAGGCTGGAACTGGCCCCCTTTCCTGGCCAGTACTCAGGCATGAGGCTCCAACTGGATTGTGAGGAGGCTGCAAAGTGAAGCCAAGCAATGTGCCAGGCAGAAAAGGGAAACCAGAAATAGAGGTGAGCTTTAACCTTGCTGGCTGCCGTTTGTGTGAAGACTCATTGGCATGGTGAGGGCTGAGAGCATGCTGAAAGGGCCTGGTTCACCTACGGTTCTCCTATGTGCTCACCCTACGCCATCTCTTTGTGGCCGACTGGACTCCCTCTTCACACCGGTCCACAGCAGTATTTGGTACTTTGTGGTGGAAGAAGAGGTGATGCTGAAGAAGATTCCTTGTGCTGATAAGATAGATGCTTGTGAGCTAGGCTAGGGGAAGGACAGCCTACTGCAAAAGTGGTGGGAATTGTCAGAAAGGGAGTTGTGGGATACGGTGGCTTGGGCTGGGACTGAGGGTTCCATATAAAAATCTCATGGTGAAAAGTTTATTTGTCCCTGAAGCAGGAGGTGATATTTTGAAGACTTTTATGAACTTATAAAATTTAGATTGAAGATTCCCTCTCATGCCAACTGTATCAGAAAGGCCAGCATTCACAGCTGTGCTAAGAGTAAGCCATCCCAACTGTTACATATTTTTTTACACTCATAAAAATATCACAAATACACTTGTCTTGGAGGGAGGATTTTTCAAGGGAAATCATTTGTTTTGGGGGGACTGTTTTAGTTAGTTAGTTAGTTAGCTAGTTTGTTTTATACACTTAAGAACTGGAATGGGAAGCCAGTATGTACCCAGTGGTGAGCCTCAGCGAAACTTTCCCAGATCAAAACTGTCACCACAGCAGGCCACCCTGCCCACATTCTCCTCCAATCTGCTTCTCAAGAGCTAAGAATTGCAAATAATTGCACTTCTCTTACTGCAATATAGACTCCCTATAGGGGATACTCCTCACCCAAGATTTGTGGGTCCCAAATGACACTAATCCACTTTTTTGGTCTAGACATTAATTAAAAAGAATTGAACTTATTTATTAGTTATGTTTAGTCTAATAAACTTTCTGAAAATAAGCTCCTATTTTCATTTGTAAGTGGCATTTCTCACACCTACAATCCTTACACTTGGGCCACTTCTTGGGGCCAACAGACACAAAACACCTGCCAAGAGCAAGTCCCAGGAGAGTTTCACAGCAGCACATCCTTGGTAGTCCAGAGCAGGTGGCAGGATTTGCGCCTTAGATGTTGAAAGAAATTTGATGAGCCTCTTCTGAAAGCCATGTAGCAAACACTTGGGTGACACGCCTTTCTTTTCCTCAGGGATTTCCTGGAAAGGACGGTTCCGCTGGTCCGCCAGGGCCACCTGGTCCAATCGTGAGTATTTCTAGAAACTTCGGAGATCCATTCTGCTTTAAAGTATTATTTTCTTTGTAGAAATTTTCTTCTGCTGGGTTTTCTAGCTGCTATTCTTTGCTATTGTGTAACAATAGTTTGTCTGTTGGTACAGACCTGTAACACCCTTTAAAAATGACAAATCCAGAGGGTTTGATTATTCACTGAGTCAGTTTCTGTAAGATCCTCTGCATTCATGTAGTCGTTATTATCTGTAAATAAGACTAATCCTATGGAGATTTCAAAACAGCTTTATAGTTGGTCATTGGGCACAGGAATGAGCAATGACTCCTGAAACATCGGTGGGGAGGGAAGCTCTTGGGGGCATGCATTATTATCCTTGTTCAAGGCTATGATCCATCATATATATGAATCTTCACCTTAGTCCTATTTCTTGCTTCTATTTTAGGGCATTCCTGGAGCTCCTGGTGTCCCAGGGATCACGGGCAGCATGGGACCACAAGGATCCTTGGGGCCACCTGTGAGTACTCAGTGATAGCTGCTCAGGATCTATGTCCTGTCATCATTTATATGTCTGAATTTACCAGCATCTCCGTGGATCAGAAATGCTTACTCAGATTCCAAGCATGGTGATGCACACCTTTAATCCCAGCACTTAGGAGACAGAGGCAGGCAGATCTCGGTGAGGTTAGGCCAGTCTGGTCTACCCTACCATAGCAAGTTCTAGGATATCAAGGGCTGCATAGAGAGACTCTGTCTCAAAAAAAAATTATATCAATAATGTTTATTCAGGATTGGACTTTACAGGATTCCATGAATGACAGTGGACGGAGTTTTAAGATTGGGTTGTCCATATGCCACGGTAAAGGTGAAATGGTCCCTGATGGAATAGCCAGCCATGCTGATGCTCAAATGTGTCCCCATGGCTTGTTCTGGATTTGCCTAAGTGAACTCAGTACCACCTGTCAATGTTGGGTGCAACAGCTCAGTGTCAATCAAGCTGGACTCGCAGGAAGGGAAAATACAAAATTGGAGAAATTCAAAGTTTTAATGAAAATGGGAAATGTTTTCATACCTTACACTCCATCAGAAAGCACACGCACACATAAGTAAACAGTGTGAAATGGAAGTGCGTTTTTCCCTGTTTCCCTTTTTTTTTTGCATTCCTAATCTCTTCACTGTCATTTAAATGTGACCAGTGGGAGAGGGTAAGGAACCAAGGGATGCAATGTCACTCTCACCAAAGCCATACTTCATGTCTGTGACTTGCAAGATGCTCACTGTAGGCTTAGATATCAGCGCTCTGACAGCATCTGTGCTGGACTGAGCCACCAGTAAGCTCAAGGTGCTGCAAACCTGGGGAGTGTGATGTGTGATGGAAGGGTGCAGAGGCGGGTATGAATTAGAATTCCGTCGCTGCCTAAAAAATTACCGCTACCTCAGTGGCTTAGAGCAGTACACCGCTATTATCCTACAGTTCTGCAGGATGGAAGTCTGCTGCTGATCTCAATGGGTTAAGAGCAAGGTTCTGGGGTCATCCTTAGGGATTCCTGGGGGTTTCCCTGGTGCCAGGTTTCTCTCTAACCCCAAAATGCGCCCCCCGCATCAAGACATCACTTTTGTTACTCTCCCCTACCATCCTGCCCCCAACGCACCTCCTGCACCCAGCCCACCCAACCGCTCCCTCAAGTTCCGATCCCGACATTCCCCATGCTGCTGCCCCCAGTTTACCCAGGAGATCTCTTCTATTTCCCCTTCAAGGGGAGGAGCTCGGTCCTACCTCAACTTGACTGTGTCATTCTTTGTTCTAGCCCTGGGAGGCCTGCCCCTTTCTGAATGGAGACAGAGGAGGTGTGGATAGGGAGGGGGGTAGATGGGAAGTGGGGGCAACGAGAGGAGAGGAGAGAGGGGAAACTGCAGTTGGTATGTAAAATAAATGAAAAAAAAGTTATTTAAATAAAATTAAAAGAAAAAAGAAAGAAAAGAAAAGACCAAGGTTCTGGAATTTCCCTTCTGGAGGCTCTTGGGAAGAATCTAGTTCCTTGACTTTTCTAGCTTCTAAACATTGGCCACATGCCTTGGTTTGTGGCCACTTCCATCTTCAATTCCAGTAATGTGCCTTCTTTTTGTCCCATTTTCCATGGCCATGTCTCTTGCATAGGCGGGAAAGATTCTTTTCTTTAAGGACCTCCCTCCCTAGATAATTCCCAAGTCCTTAACTAAATTCTCTTTGCAAAGTCCCTTTGGCTTCATAAAGTGACATACTCACACGTTCTGGGATACGACTTGGACATGTAGGGAAGGTGGGGAGCCTTTTCCACTTGTCGTAGGGGAAAAGGCTCAACAGAATACTGGGGCAGATTAGAAAGGACACTATGGTGCACACAGCACATACCTAGATGTACCTGGGATGTGCCCAGAAAGATGAATATGGGGTTCAGCAAACACACGTGGTTTGCACATCCTCATAGTCACTTTACAAAGCTATGTACTTACCCTAACCACCTTCTCATTGCTCAAAACATTCTTGACTCTCCTGTTTTCAAATCAAATTAGTATTAGGTCACAGAAGAAAACTGAATAATTTTGTCTTCAGACATATATCAAAAAGACATTGCCACATTTGATCCTGTGTGTGTAAACACACACACACACACACACACACACACACACACACACACATACACACACACACTTGAGTCCTTACAAGTAAGCACACAGACTGCTTCTTTTTTTCTTTCCTCTCTCTCTCTCCTTCCTTCCCCCCTCTCTTCCTCTACCTCATCTTTCCACGTCAATCTTATCTACTCATCTACTCATCCATTCCACACTAGAAAGCCTTAGAAACCTTCTGCTACTAGGTTTCAGTCTGTTCCTCAAGATGTGGTTTAGGGGACTGGAATCCCAGAATTCATCATTGAGACTTAGGGTCAAAGAAGTCTCAGAGGTAGTGCATGCTCCATGCAGCAGAACCATGGCAGCACTTCAGGCATCCCACATACAGTAAGAAAACAGGATGAGGTTACTTTACCATGGTTACATACACTAAGCAAACCTGTGTGTGCAGGAGAAGGGAACCCTTTTCTTACCAACATCTCCCAGAATTAATTTTTCTTGCCCAGGCTATAAAAATACAAGCCACGGTTGGTCCTGAGCCAAGGGGTTTAAGATGAAAAGACAGAAGGGGAGGGCACCAAGGTCTCTGGAGAATTTAAATGGGGTAGAGGGGGGCAGAGTAAGGCCAGAATGTATTGGTAAGAATGATACTTTTTCACTTCCCCGACTTGCCTAGTGTACATCTGGGACATACTAATAAATCACTTCATGTTAGTTTTATCATCCATCAGCAGAGGATCATGTTTGGTGCAAGCCTTATGCCACGGACACTTTTATCAGAAGTAGAAATCAGCCTGTAGCTGCTGGGTAGGGATACGACAGTCAGCTCATCTATTTCCCCATCCAAAGCAAGTTGTTCTCTGCACTAGAGTCCAAGATTTTCCCTGTGTCCAGGCTGCCAGCTCCCACATGCCTGCTGGCTGCCGGGCTGGTATGATTATTAAAGCAGGCTCCATGTGGTGCTCTTAAGGCCTTGATTGATTTCCCATAGATAACTGTCTAGGAAAGTGAGGGAACCGAGAGGGACAGACTGTGCCGCAGAAAATGGCAGTGTGTTTCCTACAGTGGATGCCAGCAACGCTTACTCTCCCGCGGCCCAGCTTCTGCACCCACTCTTCCAGGCAGATGAGCATGGCCGCTGCCAAGCTTCTAATTCCTCCCTAGGCGGTGGCTTAAATGTAGTGCCTCCCTGACGTGGGTCACATGCATAATGAAGGGTCTTCTTGCTGCTGAGGCCACGTGTTTCAGTAGGTAAGCCCATTATTTAAAGAGCCCTATATAAAATGTCCAAAAGCCCCATGTCTAGGTGGGGCTCTGGTACAAACCAGCCTCACTATAGGAGCCACAAACTGAACTAAATCATTTAGCTTACATCTTAGGTAAGTCCCCCCGCCACCCACCCACCCACCCAGCTCAGGCAGTCAGCTGTATCTTCTGGCCCCTGATGTCTGGGGATTTTATTGTTGTGCTCATATACCGCCTTATCATATGAGACAGAGAGTACTTCTTACATATTTGTAAGAAGAGAAGGAGAAAGAGAGGGGAAGAGAAAAGGATAAGGTGGGGATGGAGGTAGGAAAAGAGACGACCAGGTATTCAGGTCCTCGGGGAGGAGGGGCTGCTGTTCAAGGAGACTAAGTTACTGTTACTGGTTCGAGGTCAGGTCATTGAAGATCTGTGAAGCCTGATGAGGGTTGGATTTTGTATAACAGGCTTCTTCAACATGTGGGACTTGGACCATGGGCTCATTCTCTCCCTTTCGGCCCCAAACTTCTGTGAATCTATGAATGTAGCTACTGTGTTTCTTTACATTTCAAGGGTTCCTAAAGTTAAAGGAAAAATTCACGACTTTTTCCTGCCTCCATCTACAGGGGCTACGTGTTTTCCCTCAAAGCATACTTTGGTGGAGTTATGGGCCTTCATGTGCTCAGGAATTTTTATTTTGTGTTTTTGTTTTGCTTTGCAAAAATCAAAGGGAATATGTCAGAGAAGTTGGAATCAAAAATAATGACTTGCTGTACTAATATTTCACTAAAAAGATCTTTCATTGAGACTGCATTGAGACTGCGGAGCTGTGCCTTTTAACTACTTAATAACAAGCATCATGAGACTGAGTTTGGGGAATTTCAGGCCTAATTAAACACATCCATCTCTTTAGACCAGAAAGTGCCAATGGCTAATACTGTCTGTTTCCTTCACTAATCAAGTTTGCTCTCTAATTCCTTTCTTTAAATGTGAAATAGTTTCAAACGTGCTAATAGAACAAATGACACAAAAGGAAATGTGGAAAGGCATGTTGGTGTTGAAATTGAAGTGTTCAAGACAAAATAATTTTTTAAAACACAAGATCTCACTGTGGGGCCAAGTTGGGCTTGAACTCAGTGCAACACTTCTGCCTCAGCACTATGTAACACTATTGATGACAAATGTGTGCGCCACCACACCTGGCTCACAATCAATTGTTTAAATGGCTCAAGTTGGGACTTCATTCTGCATTCCTAGAATGAAGTGTGTGGGGAGGGGAGTGGTATGCCTGCTTGCTTCTGTTTGTATTAGGAAAAATGTTTTCTTAATTGGAATTGAAGATTCTGGATCATGGTTGTTGTGAACAGCATCCTCTTCTAGCCAAGCAACAGAGAGGACCAGGTCCAGAAGTCCACAAGTTGGCCTCAGGTTCCAGCTCTTCTATGTTCCTTATTGTGTGATCTCGGGCAAATGGGATTTGAATTTTCCATGTGTGATTTTCCTAATCTGTAAACTGGGACTGTAGCTTGCAGTTGTTACAAGGACTGCATGAATTAAATCTTATAGAAATATTTATTATAGGGATAAAAAGAGCTACCTTACAAAGCTATTGGAAGGGCTAACTGAGGGAATACATAAGAAGTACCCAGAACAGTGGCTGGTAAAAGCAAACCAAATATTCATTATTAAAATTTACAATTCTGAATATATTAAAATGTCAGGTCAGGGTCTTTCTTTCTTTCTCTCTTTCTTTCTTTCTTTCTTTCTTTCTTTCTTTCTTTCTTTCTTTCTTTCTTTCTTTCTTTCTTCGGCTGGTTTTTGATTTGTATCTAATGCCCCCAAAGGTGTTTTTTTTTTTTTTTTTTGACCCAATGGTGTCATAAGTGTCTGGTCTCCATTAGGACCTGTCAGTGGACACTGCCTTCTCTGGGGTTTTGTCCTCTTGAAAGCAGGGGTGACAGGTGTTAAGGGAAGAAGGAATAGCTTGTGAATTGATTTACGAAATGAATTTAGGCTGTTATACACAGACACACACACAGAGAGTGAGTGTGTGTGTGTTTGCGTGCGTGCGTGCGTGTGTGTGTGTGTGTGTGTGTGTGTGTGTGTGTGTGTGTGTGAGAGAGAGAGAGAGAGAGAGAGAGAGAGAGAGAGAGAGAGAGAGAGGAGGGGGAGGAAAGGAGGATGGGAGGGAGAGAGAGAATTGCATACATCTTATTTTTGCAAGCAAGTTTTTCTTGTGGAAGTTGGGTATTTTTAAACAGAACTAACACTTTCTCTAACCCTCTAACAATGCCCTGTAGTGTGTCTTAACTATTTTGCTTCTGTCTCTTTCCTATCCAGGCTGTTGAGGCAAAGTGTAGATTGGCTAGTAATGCAGACTTGAAATGAAACCCAACCACTCAATCATCCAGTTAACACGTATGTGTGAGCGCCTGCCATGTCCCAGGCACTCTCTGGAGATGGGCATATGGAAATCCCTTAGCTAGACACAGACCCAGCCTTGTGGAGCTCACATGCCAAGCAGGAGCTGCTTGCTTTCTGGAATCTGGGATCCTCTTACAAGCTCTTTGGCCACTTATTTCCAAATCACCAGCATGCCCTGAGGTTCTAAGCGGTGGGTCTTCTACTCTCGAGAGTCCCTGCCTTATGAAGAAACGCAGAGACTTTAAATGGATCGAAGAGCCAAAGACTTGCATTTTCCCCAAAATATCTGTTGTTCTTAAAACTTTTTATTTATTTAATTTCATTAGTTTTTTTGAGAATTTAATATGTGTTTTGATCATATTTCCCTCCTCCTCCAGCTCTTCCCGGATCCACTCTCGCTTTCCTACCCACCCAACTTTGTGTCTTTAAAAACAATAAACCCACCAATTTGCATTGCCCTTATATTGTTAGATGTGGGGCCTTCTGCTGGAGTGCAGTCAACTTACCAGAGGCTACACTTTTAAAGAAAATTGACTCTTTCTCTCTCAGGAGCTCCTTGGCTAGGGATGTGACTTTGTGCCCACCTACCCTTCCTCTTCTTATTTAAAAAGATATTTTAAGATGTGTGTGTGTGTGTGTGTGTGTGTGTGTGTGTGTGTGTGTGTGTGTGTGTGTGTGTGTTTTAAATACATTAGGAAGGGCACACATGGAAAAGAGACGAAAAAAACAGTGGGTTGCTGTTACCTGCTTAGGAAGGGTCCCTGTTGGTCCCCTTCCCCTGCCAACCCCAACTATGACTATGTGTGTAGCTTGAAATCAACCCGGGAAGAAGTCCTTCTGCTGCCAACATCTGCACACACTGTGCGTCATGGCGTTCTCTTTCCCTGGGTCCTGTGAAGTAAACGGAGAATTTTGAGCTTGGGTAACCTACAAAGCTGAGTTTGGACTCCACACTGCATTTGTTTTGAGACCTGATGAGATTGAAGAAACAAGAGGAAATAATCTGACAATGTGGCATATTCCATTCATGGATTCTGTTCACCTGCCTAGGAGTAATTACAGAAATGTTGCATCCATATTGCCTGTGAGTTGACACAGAAATATGACAGCCTTCTGAGGACACCTGCTTCCCATTATAAGCATAATTTCATTGCAGAAACACTGAAAACATTGTGTTTTTTTCAGTACATATTTTACAGTAATAGCAAGGTTTCTTATTGTCAAAAGTAGCCAAGCTGTGGTTTTAAATAAGATTTCAGCTGAGAAAGCATGCACACATGAGCTCTGATGTTGTAGAGACTCTTACTATCATTGCAGAGGAAGCAGGCTGAGGCTGTGGGGTTTCATAGATCTCATCAATTCCTTTAACTGCTAGATTGAGAGGAGTTCTTTACCTTTCTTATAGAAAGAAACTTTTCAGAAGGGGTTTGTGGAATCATTATGACGTACTCTATACAGTTCAGCATACTGCGTGGAGTTTGGTGTAGGAAGTTGTGATGATACCATTGATGAAAACAGATTACTCCACAGTACTGCTGCACCATTTCACTTCCATGGCTCCAAACGGCCACCTCTCTGTATGAAAGATCCAGAGGACTAAAGTGCATAAATAAGCTGTTTTGCTCGGTGGGACTACAGGTTGCTACCTGTTTTATTCCTGATGCCTGTTTTCACCCAAGTTTGGGGGGGAAAATGCCTTTGTCAGCTATGAAAAGTTGACTCATAGTTCAGCACAGCATCCCAAGTAACTTGAAATTTATTCTTCACGTTTACAGGGTGTCCCTGGACCAAAGGGAGAGCGAGGTGAACGAGTAAGTGTTCCCAGGATGCTTCTGGCCATAGGTGGTTGCACGCAGCCCTTGCCTAAGCCGGATGAACAATGGTCATTGCCAACTGTGGTATTCATTGCAGTCCCAGCAGTCCTTCACTTAGAAGCACATTTCCCAGGGAAAACATCTGGCTGGGTTGGGGGCCAGGAGAGGATTTCCAGTTGTATGCTCCCGCCGTCTGGCTCCTTGAACTTGGGCTCCACTCCTTAAAGATAAACACAGGGAGAACCACACTCACCTAACCCACAAAGTGGAGCTGAGATGGAAATAACATAATAGATGTAGAAGGGTGTCCTAATGGATGTGGATGGCTTTACACTAATGCCAGCCTGTGGCACAGGACTCCCATTTTCCTGATGGCATAGTTTTGGCATGAAGCAAGACCGTGGTTGGATAGACTCAAAGAAAAGGCCCTGAAATTCAAGTCACTTCAATTTCAGTGCCCACTTTCTCTTTGCAGAAATTGTGAGGCTCCTAATGTAGTTGCATTCTTGGCTGGGGTAGAAACAGCCCAGTCTCAGGTTCAACAGGTTATTTCTGTGAAAACTTTGGCAATGTATTTAATGCTAGTTAGCCGTAGCACGGGCTTAACTGTTTTCCTATGAGTTGTTATTAATATTAAATGAGCCACCACTTGAGAAGGCATTAACTATTTATGAGCATATTTACATATTGTTAACAATTTTTTAGAATCTGGGATCAAAAAATATTTACTTGAGCATATGAATCTAATCAGCAAAGTCTTTCAGAAACCCTGAATCCTGGGTGCAATATGCCTCTTCTGCATTAACCACAGTAGTTAGCCTGCCCTGCCGCTAGGATCCTAGAGTCTTGCTGGAAACAGTGGGTCAGGTCAGCTATGTCCCAGCTGTATGGCTGCGCTTATGGCCATGCTTGAAGAATACACTTTCTTCCCATCCAGGGAGACCTGCAGTCCCAAGCCATGGTGAGGGCAGTGGCACGTCAAGTATGCGAGCAGCTCATCCAGAGTAAGTGTACATGCTGGTCATCCAGGCCATGTCTCATTCCTGTTCAAAGGAAGTCTCCATTCCCAGGACTAGGGAGACCAAGGAAGCCCTCTGAAGCTATGTACTGCTGAATACACATAGTTTTTCAGGCCCTGTCTCTGAACCACCTACCATCCTAACAGATTGCTCTAGAGCTCTACAATCATGGCCCAGGAGCCAGACTCCCATGTCCTCCCTCCAAGAGCCATTTGCAAATTAATATTTAATTTAACTGCTCTGATTGGATCTTCCATTTCTCCTTCTCCCACCAAGTGCATAGGTACTTTCTCAAGTGTTAAAACCAGACTCTGTCAGAATCAAAATGACCATGGTGTTGGTTTCTACTGGCTCACAGATTTTAATCATTTTCCCTTTCTTATCCGGTTTATACCCATTACCTTTGGTTAGCCCAAGGCCCCTCCTTTGATTCCTTAGGCTGTATGCCAAAATATACATATATTCATAGGGTTGATGCGACATCTGATATGACAGTTGGGCATCATTCCTAAAATCACACCAGAACATACTTGTTATAATATTTATTCCATTTATTTATTTTCAAACCTGAATGTTTCAACAGCATTTATTTCAACAACAGATTCCTGTACTCACCCATTTTGTACACATGCCCACTTATTTTATATATTTTGTCTCAAAAATCTAACCACAAGGTTACTAGGGTGGGCCCTTCTCTTTTCCATGAATGTGTTTCATTTCAGAATATTTGAGGCCAAGTAAAAACAAAAATTCCTGTCAGACCCACCCAACTTGAGCGGAGCACTCATGCCCACACTCCCCACACTGATGGCAACCTCCTCCTCTAGGCATGGCATTTTCAGGATAGTTGCCTTATCTGTCTCAGGGTTATATTTACTTTAAGCTGGAGAGGTGCGGGCATCAGGCCAGTGGAGTCCAGTAAGTGCCAAGGTCTGTGGGCAAGATCCAAAATTCCACCTGTTCCTTGGGGATAAGCCCAGGTCCTGCTCTGGGGATGTGTGGATGGAGGAATGAGGTTTTCACTCAGGCAAAATTATCAGTAGCAGAAGGAGGACAAAGCTGCTACTTTCAAGTACAGTTTTGCGCTGTGTGTTGTATTCAACCGGAATTCAATTCTACTCAATCCTAGAGTGCCCACAGCCAGTGTGTGTGGAAGAGAAAATTTACCAATGAAACTAAACAGTTCCAATTAGTGGCAAGGCAAGGTCTTTAGAAACGGTACATTCAACAAGGGAAACTGGACTTTAGTCTCTTTTAGAGTAGGATGCACCGAAAGTTCATACAAGCTCTGTGTTATTTCATGGGTTTCTTAATCTCCAATGGACAATGTAAATGAGTAGGAAATAAAACTTGTATGAAAATTGACTGGGCTGAATCTTCATATGGCTTCCTACACACAACAGGAAGAGTGATTCACAGTATTTGCTGCCTGGTTTTCTATAGGATGAAAACTTTGGCTATGTAACTTCTTAAAACGTACTCTAAAAGTCGAGGGCCCGATGTCGTTTTTTTCCTTAGAAGTCCTCAGACTTTGATAAATGACTTCCAGGAACAGAGTCGGAAATGAGACAAGAGCTGAAAGGAGTCTATGCAATAGGGAGAGCCTGTCTGTCAGTGCAGCTGTAGGTGGAGGAAATGGTAGCATCTGCCACACCCTGGCTGTCTTGCTAAACACAGCTCTGCTCTCCTCTGTGCTACTTAAACTCTCACTCAGAACCCTATTTTGGGGTTTGCATATACTTCCACACAAGCCCAGTCATCTGGTTTTAGTTCTTACTTGATGGCAAGAATTATGCTAAGAAGAGTTACTTGGGAAACGGAGGGAGGGCAGAGTGACACCAGCTGCGGAAGTGATGAATGACAGCTCCTGTCAAAGTGGGAAGTGGAGAAGACAGATGCCTCACCTGCCCAAACAGCAGTGGACATGCCTGCTGATTGAATCAGAAGAGCATCCCGGATCACAGTCATAGTTTAAGGAAAGAATACATTGGATGTATTTATATGTGCTTCCTAAAATACGATTACTGTTTTTATTTAGATTTAAGTATTTAGGTATTTAAAAGGAGATAAATATGTCTGAGGATGTAGACCAGTTGGTAGAGTGCTGGCCTTACATGTGTGAGATCCTCGGTTTGATCCCCAGCACTACATGAACAAGGCTTAGAGATGCCTGCCTGAATCTCAGCACTGTGGACGTGGAGGCAGGAAGATGACAAGTTCAAGGTCATCCTCAGCTGCATAGCTAGTGAAGGCCAGCATGAGAGACGTGAGACCTCCTTATCTCACAGAAACAAAGAAGCCCAAAAAAAGTCACGAAAAAGAGTGGGTGCCCCTATACACTGAAATAATAATAAATGAACTGCTCATTTCTTAAAAGAAGATGAATAACAATCACCTAGGTGGGGAAATCTCACCCTTAAAGATGCTGGAAAATGAAGTATTTATGGTATTAAGGCTTTATATGTCATTATTAAAATGTGTTCTTCCAAACATAACTAAGTTAAGAGGTTACAAGAGAGAGCAACAGGTTTTTGTTTGTTTTGTTTTCTCTTTTGTTTTTAACCCAGGGCAGGGGCAGCTTGCAGCTAGGACACAGCAGAGGTTCTCGAAAAAACTGTCTTGGAACCAGAGTTGAGTGCAGACATGGGACTTGTCTGGGGATTTGAGAGCAGGAGGGTGGAGCAGGCTTTGTGGGTTGGAACAAAGACAAGTAACTAACGTGAAGGGAAATTGCTGGGGAGAAAGGCAGCCGGGTGAGGGTTCAGGGGTCAGATAAATGTTGGGGTGAGTATAAAATTTATGACTTCTGTTCAATGATGTTTATGGCAATGCTGACGTGAGCTGTGGAATTCCAAACACATGAGATATGACTTGAATGCAGCCCAGCTGTTAATATCATCTAGGATAAAATGCAAAACATCCTAAGTTACAAATGAGCCCATTTCAGAAGGGTGTGCCTTTTCCTCAGTGGACATCTGACAGAGTTATTTGGAGGTTTGAAGAATGATTTACCCCCCCCCCCCCCCGTTTCTCCTTTAAATGTGTGACAGTTCATTTATTTGTTGTTGCTCAGGTCATATGGCCAGGTACACAGCCATCCTCAACCAGATCCCCAGCCATTCCACATCCATCCGGACCATCCAGGGTCCACCTGGGGAGCCTGGGAGACCAGGTTCACCTGGGACCCCTGGAGACCAAGGACCTCCAGGTGCTCCAGGCTTCCCAGGAAATGCAGGTGTGCCAGGGACCCCAGGAGAACGAGGTAAGCTGGGCCACTTCTTTCACAGGCTATCCCCAGGGAAGGGGACAGTGAATCAGAATGTGACTGGGGTGCTTATACAGTGACAGAGACCGAAACAACAGAACAAAATTAATTCTCTCTCTGTTACTAAATTTCTTATATGTCCTGAGATTGAGTATATCTTAATATACTCAATCTTAATCAGAGTATATCTACTTGTGTGACAGAGTAGGACCAGGAGCCCCAACTTACCGCTAAGAGGCTTTTGTTTTAATTATTTGAGAATTGTATATGTGAATACACTGTTTATGTCTTTTCCATAACTCCCTTTTCTCCCTTGTCCCTTGTCCCCCCATTATGCCCTCTCAAATTTATTACTTCTTCTACAATTACTCTTATATCTGCATACAGATACACAGATATATCCAACTTACTGAGTCCAGTTAGGTTTGACCATGTGGACATATGCTTAGAGCGGACAGTCTAGGACTGGGGCACCTACCACGGGACTCATCAGTGAAGAACCTGATTTTCCTTCTCTCGGCAGCCACTTACTTCTTGTAGCTTTCATTTAGGGGTAGGGCCTTGTCAACTTTTCCCTCATCCATATTGGTATGTTGGCTGGTGTGGTCTTGTGCAGGCAACCATACTGTTGAGATTTCATGGCTGCAACATCCTTATCATGTCCAGAGAAGACTATCTTGCAACAGTTGTCTCAGTCCTCAGGCTTTTTTGTGATTGTCCCTGAGCTTTGCCTGTAGGGGTTGTGGCATCACCTAAAAGGACTTAAGAACAAAAATCACATGGCCACCTGAATAGATGCATTTCTGCCTCTGCACATACATATATTATTTATTTGTCTAGCTTTAGAAAAATCCACTTTCCCTTGTGTTATGCATCTTATTCTTAGTGCAAGGTTCAGGTTAATCCTGTCCTGTGCATGAACCTCATCCTCATCACCCCAGACCAGAAAGTAGAGCCACCCATGGACATGTGGTACGCTTATTGACTCTTCCTCTTGGTTTTGTGTGCCTCTGACATCAGTTGACAGCTAGGCTCCTGAGAATGATAGTCAGCATGTTGTGATTGGCAGTGCACAATGCTTTTAACCTTGCTTCCTACAAGGTTGTCACATTGATTATGATCTGATGGTGATTATCATGCAGGACACAAAGTCAGAAAGAAGGGCGTAATGCCCTTCCAATGCACCAAAGATCTGGACACCCTGAGGGAGTCTACTTCTGGCAGCAGGGTGCCCTTCAGTGGTGTTGGGGATAGGGAAACAGTGACTCACAGAGTATAGAGCCAGTGCCTGAGTCACTCCCAGCAAGCTCCAAGTTGCCTTTGCTCAGTATGGAAATCCTTACTCTGCTCTTGCCAAACCGAGTCTTTCCTATATGGCAAGATAATTGAGTGATTAGATGAAAGAAAAATTACCCAGGAGTTCTCAAAGGGTAGCTAGATAACTGTTGGGTACGTGAATTTCCACATCATCATTCCTCTGTGTGTGTGTGTGTGTGTGTGTGTGTGTGTGTGTGTGTGTGTGTGTGTGTATGTGTGTGTGTGTGTGTGTGTAGTGGGATTGAAATTGAAGCCCTCATCCATCTGTTCTCTGGTCCTCCAGTTTTATATAAAAGGAAGCATATAAAGGCACTGAGGCCAAACAGGGTTCAAAGTCAGCCAACATCAGGACTGGTAATAAGAAACAAAGGAGGCATTTTTTCACTGTTGCATCAATTGTGATTATCATGATGCTTAAGACAACACCATTTCATAATGAGGAACAATAAATATTGCTAGTCGGCAATATAATAAACTATGAAAGCAATATAAAAGGAAATGTGCCTGACAAATATTTTCTGGCATAGGACTCAAATGTAGCCCACTCTCTGCTGAGTCCGAAGACTCACGGCTTTCTTCATCTGGCCAGTTTTTCAGCAGAAGTCCTTCATTTGGTTTCTCTGTTGAAGTTTTTCAAGCTTCTAAAAAACACACTGTACAGGAAAATATATAGAAATATATGTGAGTGGATGGGGTATGGTGGCACACACTTTTAATCCCAGAACTTGGAGGTAGGGGCAGGTGAATCTCTGAGCTCTAGGACAGCCAGGGTGGGAGAGGTGTAATGTGGAATGCTGGTCCAGTAGCCTTGCAAACAGATGATGCTGGGGTAAGTGGAGCAGCACCCTAACTCTGTTTTCCACTTTCATTTAAAGCCCCCCTTCCCTGGGGGTGATTTAGTCTCATTTCTGATGGTGTGATAAAATATTCTATCACTGAGTCATTTAGCGGAGAAAGGCTTCTTATTTTAGCTCACACTTGTGGGGAAGTCAAAGAAATGGGAAGTTAAAACAGCTAGTCACTCCACATCCACAGCCAAGTGCAGAGAGGAAAGAATGCACGCACACATGCTTGGTGCTCAGCTAGCTTTCTACACTGTTACATAGTCAAGAACCTAAACCAGGGAACAGGGACGGCCTACTTTCAGGCTGAGTCTTTCCACGTCAGTCAAAGCAATCAAGGCAGTCCCCATAGACACGCCCATAGGTGGAGCTGCTCTAGACAGTCCCCCATAGACACGCCCATAGGTGGAGCTTCTTTAGACAATCCCCCATAGATGTCCTCCATAGGCAGAGCTGCTCTAGACAGTCCCCCATAGACATGCCCATAGGTGGAGCTTCTTTAGAAAATCCCCCATAGATATCCTCCATAGGCAGAGCTGCTCTAGACAGTCCCCATAGACACGCCCATAGGTGGAGCTTCTTTAGACAGTCCCCCATAGATGTCCTCCATAGGCAGAGCTGCTCTAGACAGTCCCCATAGACACGCCCATAGGTGGAGCTTCTTTAGACAGTCCCCCATAGATATCCTCCATAGGCAGAGCTGCTCTAGACAGTCCCCATAGACACGCCCATAGGTGGAGCTTCTTTAGACAGTCCCCCATAGATATCCTCCATAGGCAGAGCTGCTCTAGACAGTCCCCCATAGACACGCCCATAGGTGGAGCTTCTTTAGACAGTCCCCCCATAGATATCCTCCATAGGCAGAGCTGCTCTAGACAGTCCCCATAGACACGCCCATAGGTGGAGCTTCTTTAGACAGTCCCCCATAGATATCCTCCATAGGCAGGGCTGCTCTAGACAGTCCCCCATAGACATGCCCATAGGTTGAGCTGATCTAGACAGTTCTCCATAGACATGCCCATAGGTTGAGCTGATCTAGACAGTTCCCCATAGACCTGCCCATAGGTTGAGCTGATCTAGACAGTTCTCCATAGACATGCCCATAGGTTGAGCTGATCTAGACAGTTCTCCATAGACATGCCCATAGGTGGAGCTTGTTGACATTCTCTTCTCAGGTGATTCTGGGTTGTGTCCAATTCACACACTAACCATGGCAGGGGATCTTGGATTTGATTATCTCCGTTTGAAAAGTACTGTCTTAGAATGGCATCTTTGCTTAACTCCTTCCTTTGAGAACTGGCCAAACCTTCCTTGGTTCAGAGAACAGAAGAAAATGACAGACATTGCCTTGGTCTAATGGCTCTCTGCAGCTCTCCTTCCCTCAGATGATTTTTGCTCATTCTGCTTGTCTGTTTCCCTCCTCCTGGACTCTTTGTCTCATTTCACGTCAGAAAGCCACACTCAGAACTTACGAGGAACAGTATCCCGTCAGCTCTCTTCTCTCTTAGATTGTAATGTACAGAGACTCCTCAGAATGGGAGGATTCAAAGAGACCATGCAGCTGCTGTTTCCTTCACACACTCCACTGCTGAGTTCTCCACTTGCTGGCTCTCAGAACTTCAGGGCCTCCATTCGGCACAACATCATGCTTTTGTTATCTAGCCTGCTTTCTCACCTGCCTTTTCTTACCTTATGACAAAGAAAACTCTTTTTCTGTGGAACCACATTTTCTTTGCTTGCTTAGTCCCTCTCATTACAGTCTACACTGCCCTGGGGTACAGGGCTCTTTATACCAGGATCAACCTTCACCTTCCTCCCAGATTCTCTGAGCTGCCACACTCATGTGCTGGCTCTTCTGACCCTCCTCTGCCTCTCTGGTCATTGGCTTGGGTGATCCCAACTAGATCCCCTTGATCATCCATTCATCTACCATTTCCTTTCTCTAGTTGTTGAAATGTTCATATCCACACCGGGATCTTGGTCAACAATGAGTTTCTTCGTTTACTTGAAATGAGTTATTTACTTGGAATGAGGTGTTTTTAATTTACTCAGAAAGAATCAATAAACTCTCCCAACTTCAGTCTTCTTGATAATTCCTCCAATTCCTATGACTCTTCAAAAAATAGTTGGATCAGAGGCACCGTCCAACTCAATAGTTTCATTTTTTTATTTTCCATCAGTGACAGCTGAATTTCATATTTGGTATGTTTTCCACAATAAATCAGCAAAATTTTATTCAGGACAGGGATTGTGTAAGGTTTTGTGGCTTCTCCATGTGAGAGATAATACTATTATTTGTGGCTATAACTTATTCAGCATCAAATACCTCTACTGACTGTTGTCATAGACCAGCACACACACTACCTCATTCAAAAGGTTGGGAAATGTTTCAGAGAGGGAAGAGGGTGAACCTACTACTGAGTTTTTAGGCTGGGGTGTCCAGTACCTTGAGATTGTAGACAGTAAACAGTTTCAGAATTTAGAGGAAGATGTAACTGTGGACTTTGATAAGAAAGAGTGCGGGTGTATATGGAGCAAATACCATGTGTTATTTGTTAGCATGATATCCATTAAAAATAAAAACTTTATGAGATCTGAATTAGCCCCATTATTTTTGTGATGCTGAAGGTCAAATCCAGGGTCTTCCATATACTAGAAAGATGTTTAACCATGGAGTACATTTTAGGCCCGGATTAGCCCTTACTGTTCTCTCTCTGTCTCTCTGTCTCTCTCTGTATCTCTGTCTTTCTGTCTCTCTGTCTCTCTGTCTCTGTCTCTGTCTCTGTCTCTCTCTCTCTCTCTCTCTCTCTCTCTTTCTCTCTCTGTGTGTGTGTGTGT